ATACAAATACTTGTGTCAATTCAAACCACCTTCTCTAGTCCCTGGGAGCCTATAGTTATTGGGCGAAATTTTACATCCCATTTGCCCTAACTGACAGGGTTACGTCAATGTAGTCTATGCATTATTTGCCAAGCACCTCAGATGCGGCCGATTGGATACGAAGCATGAAGTGATCATGACAACGGACCCGAGTGGGGGATAGTGCGGTAGATTTGGCGCTAGTCTACTCTCACTAATAATCTAATTCACGCGAAAGTATTTCCGTTGGCGGTAGACATTATCAAGCTGTCGACTGACGCTGGAGGCTCCATCTGCGACAAGTAACTCCCCAAGCCCTGTATCCGATTTTATGGCAGATAAATGAAAGCGTAAGATATTCTAGGAAGTGGAAAGTTAACGCCTTAATTCTGTGAACTACTTAGGCATTTATGTTACGTACACTGAATAGACAATTACTAGACTACGATAATAACTATGCAAACCTTAGCCATTTCGTACTACCGATGACTGCGCGGCGTCAATTTACTAAGGCCGCATAATTGGCCAATGCTGCAGATCTGCTAAAACGGTTATCGAAGACGAAATTAGTAGGCAGCATTGCATGAGAAGTCTACAAGTAATTAACTCTCAAGTACCAATTTGCGATTAGCAATCTTACTATGTTCGATCCCAGATAGGAACCAAATCCTGTCCAATAAACCTTTAGGCGTCATTAGCACTCCAATTAAACCATTAATATTCATTTTCTCCTACATAATTCACCATCACATGCCAGCGAATATTCAAGATATCAAAAAAGGTCGACGACCAGAATACAAGACGGAAAAATGAGAACGGACAGACTCCTACACTCATAGCAGCTACGTCGCTTTCCCAAGAAGTTAAAAAATTAAGCGGTTCGATAACGAAATAGGAACATACCAGTAGCGGAGAGAACTGCGCAAAATTCCAACAGGGGTACCCATTCCCGTGTCCTAGTCTTAATCTCAATCTTAACACTGATCTTGCCAGAGCCCTGATCCTAATCTCCCTGGAAGTTAGCTCGTGTGTGCGGAGATTCATTCAACTGACCTTTCAACGAAACCAGAGGAACAATTGACAAGAAAGCAATAGACTTTTTGTAAAAAAAATCATTGGGGCACAAGCGCAGGTGAAAAGAAAAATAATTAGGAAACAGTAGCCGTGAAAATGTACAACAAAGAAGGATCAAGTGAAGTTATACCGGGAATTAATGGCTATCACTTGGAAGCAGTTGAATAACGTTCCAGGAGTTGATTGTGGCAGGGTTCACAGACACGTAGGGGTTTGGAGGAACTGGGTAAAGTCATACGGTATGCGGAACACTCGTAGCAGAAAATGAGACCGCAGTTTCGACAATGATGCTGAAATAGTAATGA